TATAATATACATTAGGCCTTTGTACGGTAGGCCTTATATATAAAATATAATATGAAATAAAATTATATATGTGTATATATATAATGCACATATTTATGCGTTGAATATGAAGATTGAGTAGAAAGAAATTATAGATGATCAGACACCAACATGCTGCAACTTATAAGACTTCGTAATTTGTTAAAAATCGCAAGTAGAGGCTTAATACTGACGAAAAATGTACATTAAGCCATACGGTGTATATATAATTATTACTAATATCATAACTCAACATATGTTAGTTCTGTCGTAGAACGAGTGTGCATGAAGCCTTAGTTGATAACTGTCTTATTTGAAGTATTTGTGTTATTATAATTTGTATTTATGTAAATACGCCAACACTTTCTTTGATGTTTACGTTTACGTTTACATAGGTGCATCCTGCAAAGGACCTAGTGGTCAGTAAGCGCAGGGTAACCGGGGTTGTATGGACCAGTGTACACCGGGGTATACACTTCCTACTCGTCTTGAAAGATGTACCGGGTTCTTTAAAGCGCACATGAGTCAATTGTGTACTCAGTGGCCAACGGTTTATAGTCCTTACCCGAGAAGACCTGTTCCACCACCAGAACCACAGGCGAGCGTGGCGTCGAACCAGCGCCGGTATTATGGCTGTAGGTGGCGGTGACCCTGCCTTCACCGCTCGGCCAATCAACCCGCTCGGCCATCCGACGCTAATGCCACAGTCAACCTACACTTAAAAATGTACCTTCAACTGTAACCTGCAGACGTCTGGTTGAATACGGATCTTCCACTGTGATTTTGGACACATGGAATACAAGCCTACGTGTGAAGATGACTTGGTGGTTACGATGTTTTCTTTCCAATCCCGGGGTCTTGGGTTCAATTCCTGTCACGGTAACAGGATTTTTGTCTCACGACCTAAACTACTCCACTCCCTAAGCCTCATAGTGTGCATGTTAGTCCTGTGACGGGATTGCCCCCTTTGAAGAGTGATTAAGTTCACTGTTTGACATATCCTTGATGTGTAAAACTGAATACAATTTTTTGTTTTAAATAATTTCCACTATTGAAACAACCTTGGTCCCAATACAACATGGCCCATGCTCTTGAGCGGATGATTGTCTCCCGGGGTACGGTACTCAATTAACCTCATGAGTGACGCTGCACAGTGGTTGTAATGAGTGTCCAGGGGCCTAGCCCGAAATTCCTATACTCAAAGTGTAGGACCTACTTAACTTTTAATTTACTTTGAAGCTGTAACATTTAGGGCTGCATCTCATGTGAGCTTTCGTTCCACAACTTTTTATTATGCGTTACATACGACATAATTGTATATATATATATATACAGTGTACAGTATATACACATGTCTTAGGCCTATTTATGAAACATGCGTGGAAACAACTACATCGGATTATATACTGTATGTATACAAATATATTTATATATATATAGGCCTATATATATAATAAAAAATATATATAGGCCTATATATAATAAAACATTAGTAGTTGAGAAACTGAATTTTGTAAAGATGAAAATAATCCCACTACAAATTTAAAAACACAGAATTATTAAGGAAAATATACAAAATACACGTGACTCGGTTAAATAGACAATGCGAGACGTCAGTGTACCGTAATATAAATGAGTGATAGCTTTTCTATTGGTGGATACCTCGACCAAATTGCAAACACGAACATGCTCATAACATATCCACTTTATATATAACAGTTTCCGTTGAATTAAATTTCGTCTGTTGTCGAGTGGCATTACATTGATGAGGTTTCATTGAATACTATTTCAGCGCGAAATCAATTTAGAGTACAAAAGACGAAGGGCGAATCCTTCACTCTAGTTGAATTGATGGTGCAATTCCGTTGCTTTACGTTATTAAATATCAACAAGATTGAGTTAGTGCGTTACATTGACAAGCTAATGTTGTGTACTAATTTTTAAATGAACTTTTTTTTTAATCTGCTGGGGGTAACGAGCTTTCTCGAACGCTGTTTATTTCAAAATTAAATTAGGCATACGTTTTGATTTCATTAAGCCGGAGTTCGATCGAAAATATATAGGCGTATTCACATAAAACACACTAAAAACGAAAACTCAAATAGGTCTACAAAACATTTTTAAAAATTGTTTGATTTTTGCACACAGTTCTCTCACCAATCAGTAAACGAATAAATAAAAAAATTGCATATACCCTTAAATTGCCTTGTAATCAATTTTATAACTTTAGTAGTTAAGTTTCTAAAGTAAAACAACCTAGTTTTTTTAATTTTTCCCAAAATACAACGAATTTACATTTTACAAACCTCAATTGCATATAAAGACACATTATTTTAGTAAAATAAATATCTAAAGAAATAATTAAAACAACGAATAAACAGAATAAAGGTTGGTTTTGCCGTACGTTCGAGATAGCTTGGAAACGTATTTGGATTAGACTGTAATAATAAATCAATTTGTTTTACATATCTTATTAATATACACACAAAATGTTTTACGGTACTTTATATATTACAGTAAATAATATACTAGTTAAACTGTTTGTTGTGCCTACAAAAAATGATTATAATTATGACGAAAAGCAAATGAAATTATTTGCATTGTTTTAAATTGTCTGAAATATTTCAATGGTGAAGTACAATGTGTATATCTATAACTATGCTATCATAATATATTATACTTACTTAGTATGGTACAAAGACGAAACTGTACAGTAATAGGAAAAATCGATTACTGTTTATGGGCTTGATGGTTTGTAAAATGGATCATAAGGAAGAAAGAATATATATATATAAAATATAGACGCGTGTATTAAAAACCAGCGTCATTGAATAACAACTCCAAATACAGTAACAGCAATTTGAAAGACAGCAAATTAATTATATTGAGCACTCAGGTTTATTGAAAAGATTTTTTAAGGCCTATTGGAGAGTTGGTTAACTGTCTCTCACAATAATGTACATATAGTTGCCATGTTAAATTGAAGTATCGCTTCACAATTGTTTTGTCTTCTTGAAAGCAGAAAAGATAAATGTGCTTATTGTGCGAAATGACTATAGAAAAAAATGGAACTACGAGTATGAGACGTTATAATTTTAGGAAGATGGAGATGATAATGATGAGATGGTGATGATGATGATAATGAAGATGATGATGATGATGATGA